ACCCGTGAGGACTAAGATGGAATGCCTCGTTTCCAGTAAAAAGGGTCTCCGGTTCTCTACACTCACCATACGAAATACAGCAGCATTAAGCTACTATTTCACGCTGGTATTCTGTGAGAGCGTGGTCCTTCCCCCGGTCGAGCCGACCCATTCGTGCTACAACTTTACTACTAATATAACTGCAGCATGGCTCTACCACGTAAAAATACATATCGAATGACAAATTTGCCTCTAAAAAAGCTTGGCGTGCTCACCAGAGCGGGACAGTATTTTATGACGGCACACCGTCTGCAACTTTACAAGGCGCAGGTTCAGCCTCATACGGAATACTGTTATCATCTCTGGGCCGGGGCTTCTCAGTGCATCTCTTTGCGAATGCTATCGTATCTACCACGGGGAGTGCTCAAAAGAATTGTTCGAATTAATTCCAGCCGCTCAATTTCACCAACGCACATCGCGATAAATGATTTATGGAGGGTAGATAAAACTTAACTTCGTTTTATAACCTACATATGCCAATAGTTGAAGATACTCCATTAATTTTTCAAATTTTTTTGCCATATTTTTGTCATGTCGCGCAACTCAGACGCGTAATATACTCGGGTGGAACCGCGGGCACAGCTACTTTTTTATAAACCTCTGTAAGTGCGAAAGGCTACTCGTGCACCTCTATAAGCTAGAAACTCGGATTAGTGAGAAATCTCCATAAGCGAAAAAGAGATCGAGATGCCCTGAAATCTCACATATACAGGTTTGACTGTATTTTTAGTTATTATATATAATAAATAAACACTAAATACAGAAAAGTCAAATAAATCATATATAATCTCATAATTTAACTAAAATTTTTGTTCATTTTCCCAAAAAACGCCACAAGATACGGCCTTAAGACTGCATCAATCGATATATGCATATTTATATTTCATCATATGCATATTTCATCGGGCCATCATTCCACCACCAAGTGGGGTGTTGCCCAACACTGCGCTTGCCTGTACGAAATCGCCACTTAAGAACCTTTCTTCCCTAAAGGTGAAAGTTTAATACTTTTTAATAATTCTTCTATTTTACACATATTTAGTGCAATGGTTTGAAACTAGTCGGCGACGCGACGCCCCAGTGAGCTTGAAGAACGGGACCGAGGGAAGTAGAGCGTGTAATTCCCTTCCACTATGTTGTATAATGTTTAGAATAGAATCATCTTTCATAAAATATGAAAATAATATGCAGATGCACTTTTGCACCGCTATTGTAATGTATTTGTTTTTTTTTTAAGTTGATTCATCAAAACTAATTAAAGGCTGCAGCAGTAATCGTTGATACTTTTTTTATAGAATAAGGTTGAAAACGAGCACACAGTCCACCTGATGGTAGGTGGATGCTGTGGCCCATATACATCTACATTTACCCCCGATTAAGAATCAAAACCCAGATGTGTTGTCACCCCTGAGGATTAAGATGGATTGCCTCGTTTCCAGTAAAAAGGGTCTCCGAATCTCTACACACACCATACGAAACAAAGCAGTATATATATATATATATATATATATATATATATATAAACCTACAACATGTAACATAATTAACGCATTTTACGAAAGTAGTGTGTTCAGAATTGTTTACTGAATCAATTCCTATCATTTTAATATAGGTAATATTTTTTTCCCAAATATAATTAAAACTACGTAAATTACAGACACACTAAATCTGTACAGTCAAAACAAACTGAAATGAACCGTAACTTAAGGCAATAAGACTTTTAAGAGTGCAGTTTTATTTGTATTATAACTAATTCGTCATTCAATAAAAAAAATGAACTTTATTTCAAGCACGTTAAAGTCTTTGCGAATAAGACTTAGTATAACTAATTTGATAAATAATCAGTGCATAAAAATGTTTAACTAAAAATTCTTTATATTTATCTATTATTATTATAAAATAATATACTAATTGTGGTGTATATTAATATATATATATATGAGCGCTACTACCATAGTATATAGCTGCAGCGTGGTTCTACCACGTATGCATGCTAAACATTTGCAAGTCTTCTTTTCAAATGACGGCTCTGTGGTGCAGTGGCTTAGCATTAAGTTGCGGCGTTTATAGTCCCGGGTTCAAATCCCACGTAGAACAAAGTATGGCCTACAAATAATTCGTCACTAACGCTGCAAAGGGGCGAACCTAAATTATTAAAAAATTACAGGAGAGCAAGAAAACATTTATTTTTCCCCGATTACTATTTTTTTGATTGGTGTGTTTGTTCTTGTGAAATTTACACGATACGGGGGAGAATCCTAGTGTATTGATGATTTTTTAAAGTAAAACAAAGTGAAAAAAATACCATTTTTCCTTTTAGGTTTTAGGTTTCAAAGCTTGTTAGTGGACTCCACACACGTATTTAAAATATCTCAGTCGCACACATTTTCTCACGCTAACCCTTTACTACCGAAAAAGTGGTAAACTAGCGCTTATAATTGCAACTTAAAATTTTAAAATGTAAGAAACGTCAGTGAAAGCAAAGAGGTTTATATGTTACTACTACTACTTAAACTACTTACTAAACCCTCTCAGAAATGAGCGGAGCCCTGTGACCAGGAGTGGGACGTATATAGGCGAGGCGATAGTCTCTCAAGATTGGCGATTCAGATTTTTTCTTTATGGCAGCAAATTTTTATGAATTACTTTTTTTTTACCCAACTCTTGTTCATATCCTAGGCATTTTAAAAATAAATAGAAGACTGCTGATGTTTTAGAAAGACTAAGGCGTAGATTATATACGTACTAAAATACATAATACGTACTTTACATACATGGAGATTGAGGAACAAATCGATTACAATATAACAATATACAAAAAAATACGGTTGGACCTTTTTTTATAGAATAAGGGTAACAAAGGAGCACACAGTCCACCTGATGGTAAGTGGATGCTGTGGCCCATAGATATCTACATTTGCCTTCAATTAAGAATCAAAATGCAGATGCGTTGCCAGCCCTGAGGACTGATGTGGAATGCCTCGTTTCCAGTAAAAAGGATTTCCGTTTCTCTACACTAACCATACGAAACACAGCAGCATTAAGCTGCTATTTTTTACGCTGGTAATCTGTGAGAGCGTGGTCTTTCCCCGGTCGAGCCGATCCATTCGTGCTGCAACTATACTATCAATATAACAGCATGGCTCTACCACATAACAAAAACCTTCCCTTGAGACTATTTCTCCGTTTTTATTTCATAATTAAAAGTAACAATTTTATTTCTATTTCATTTAGAAAATGTTTTAAATTGTAAATTAATAAAGACAGACGAGTAGAATTAATGTCCATTTAAAAAAAATATTTTGGAAAGAGAATAATTTTATTTATTTAAAAACCATTTTTTCTATTATAGTTTCGTGGTTAGGAATAGTGTAAAAAACAAATAATGTTATTATAGTTTTCTTTTCCGAAATTTAATTTTCAAAACAGTTAATTTTACTGTCATAAAATATGAAAAGATAGATTTACATAATTTTAATACTAGGCTTCATATTAAAATCTTTTAAATTGAAAACTCCTTGGTTTTAAAAATCGAATACCATTTATTTATTTAAAAAAAGATTCTCGGTCTTGTCACAACGTTTTGTCAAACTTGTTTAGTCGTTGAGAAAATGAAATTGACTCGAGAAAATTCAAGAGCGATGATTTATAATGACTTTCGATGTGGTTTAAAACAAAAACAGTGTATTGACCGGATGATTTCTGCATTTGGTGATGAAGCCCCATCCAAAACCACAATTTATCGCTGATTTGCTGAATTTCATCGTGGACGTGTCAAGCTCAGTGATGATCCCCGCTTAGGTCGTCCAAAAACTGCAGTCACCCAAGAAAACGTTGATGCTGTGCGTAAGCTGATTGAGAAGATCGATATGTGACATACCGCGAAATTCAGGCAACTTTAGACATTGGCATGAGTCAAATACAAATAATTTTGCATGAACAATTAGGTGTAAAAAAGTTGTTTTTCCGATGGATATCGCATTCGCTCTGTGAAGAGCAAAAAGCGGCTCGCGTTACTTGGTGCGTCAGAACTCTCGAAAGGTTCCACGCAGGATCCTCAAATGCTGTATACAACATTGTATCAGGTGACAAATCCTAGATATATGCGTACGAACCCGAAACAAAAAACCAGTCACGAGTTTGGGTGTTCGAAAATGAGTTAAAGCCAACAAAAATTGTTCGTTCACGGAGTGTTGCAAAAAAAATGGTAGCCACGTTTGTCTCCAAAACCGGCCATGTTACGACTATTCCTCTTGAGGGACAAAGAACGGTTAATGGAGAATGGTATGCTAGCATTTGTTTGCTACAGGTCGTTTCTGAACTCCGTAAAGAGAACTGTAACCGCCGCATCATCCTCCATCACGACAATGCGAGTTCTCACACCGCACACAGAACAAAAAGAGTTTTTAGAGCAAGAAAACATAGAATTATTAGATCATCCGCCGTACAGCCCCGACCTAAGCCCTAATGATTTCTATACCTTCCCTAAAATAAAGAATAAATTGCGTGGACAGAGATTTTCATCACCTGAGAAGCTGTGGACGCCTACAAAACGGCCATTTTGGAGACCCCAACTTCCGAATAGAATGGATGCTTCAATGACTGGTTCTATCGTATGAAAAAATGTGTCCAATTTCGCGGAGAATACTTCGAAAAGCAATAAATACATTTTTAAACAGTAATGTTGTGTCACTTCCTTGATTCCCGAAATTTTCGGTGCCGCCCTCGTATTGTCTTTATTTGTTGGTCAATGTATGTGAGTAGTGTCACTGTATATTTCCGTATTTATACTGTGGCAGTGTTTAAATTGCAAACAAATAAAAGGTTACCTTGAAGAAGCGACAACCGATGAGGAAGAGTTGCATAGCGTATTTTGTGGTATTCCTTCCATCTTCAGCAGAGGATTTGTAAAGGGCTGTACTGACGATGACGATGAAATAAAATTTTGAGCTAATTATTACCTCTTGTCCTCAGAATATGATTATAAAGCCACAAAGCGCGAGCTGTAGCACGCTCCGGTCTGTAATGGCCCATTACAACATGGCGCAAACGAAGCCCATACGGTTCGAAGAGGGCAAAGAACCACATAAGTAAAATAAGTACACCTGCGACAAAATAAACAATATCTTTAATTAATAGGATGTGATAAGGAACAAAATACAAAATTTCCACATTGGTTTTTATTTATAGAAGTCAGGAAAAACGGGCACGCAGTTCTCAGCTCATCCAATGTATAGGTATATATGATATGATAGTGTGTTGGTGCGTAAAATAACCTATCAACCCATATTTTCCCGTGAGTATCGTAAGCTTGTAAAAGTCAACTTTTTTATAGCATAAGAGAGTGGCAAACGAGTACATAGTCCACCTCATGGTAAGTGGTTGCTGTGGCCCATACATCTACAGCTACCCTCGATAACGAATCAAAATGCCGATGCGTTGTCACCCGTGAGGACTAAAATAGAATGCTTCATTTCCAGTAAAAAGGGTCTCCGGTTCCCAACACTCACCAAACGTAACGCAGCAGCCTTATGCTGCTATTTTACGCTGGTGATCTGTGAGAGCGTGATCCTTCCCTGATCGAGCCGACCCATTCGTGCTACAACTATACCAGTAACATAGATGCAGCATGGCTCTACCACGTAAATTATGGGAAATATTAAAGTATCTTATGGATTCCGTTACTTAATCTCTCGTATACGCCAGGCCTAAAATATTCAAAAAAATCTGTTATTGTGGTAGCCAATGCACGTGCCATACCTGATGATTCAGGAAAATCCTCTATAAAATGGGAGAAGCTCATGTTCAACAGTGGAATACGTGCAGTACGGAATAAGAATCCGGGTCGAACCTGAGTTCCAATTCCGGGTTCGCAAAACACTCCTCTCCTTGGACATCCACTAGTCGACTAGGCCTGACGGAATCCCCTCAATGGTGCGTGCTCCAGAGTTGACACCGGTTCTAACGCGTCTTTTCCGGTACTCCTTTTCCCTAAGCGTAGTCCCAAAATCATGAAAGACGGCTTTCGTCCACCCGATCGCTAAAAAAGGCGACCGCTCAGACCCGTCCAACTACAGGCCCTTCGCCATTACCTCCTTGTTCTCCAAAACAATAAAGTCCATTGTAAACTGCCAGCTCATGAGGTACCTTGAGAATCACGGCTGGTTAGTGACCGCCAATACGGTTTTCGTAGTGGTCTTTTAGTCTACCTGACTCATAGATGGGCGGAGGCAGTAGAGTCCAAGGGGGAGATATTAGCCGTTAGTTTAGACATTGCGAAGTCCTTCGAACGGGCTTGGCACAAAGCGCTTCTTTCGAAACTCCCTTCCTATGGGCTTCCCGAAAAATTGTGCAATTGGATCACCAGCTTCCTTGCAGATCGGAGCGTCAAGGTCGTCGTAGACGATGCAAGCTCCGACTACAAGCCTATTAATGCTAGCATTCCACAAGGCTGCGTGCTATCACCAACGCTGTTTCTGCATATAAATGATATGTTTCAAACCGGTAACATTCATTGCTATGCAGATAACAGTACTGGTGATACTCTATAAACCGGCTTGCCCAATGTTTCTCGGGAAAACGTCTTCGAGTACCGGGACAAACTTGTGTCTGAAGTCGAGTATTTGCTGAACAAAGTCTCTGATGATGACTAATCACTCAAATCAACTCCTTGCTTTCATTAATTTTGACAGTCCATTGCGTGTTCGCTTTGAGACAGAGAGAACACGAATCAGTGTATTTCAAATTGAAAGCAAACTGCCAAGTGTTGAAGTTACATATATGCTACGATGGAAAATTTGAAATAGTTTGAAACAGTTCACGAGTTATTTTGTTAGTTGGTATCGTGGATTTTAGAGTTTGAAAGGGCAAGCTTGGCTTTTTGGCTTCTATGGAGGCTTCGCCACGATGTCTAAGGCTTCGCCACGATGTCTATGGGTTATAGCAATCACTTACCATCAGGAGCACTTTGTGCTCGTTTGTTACCCTATCCTATAAAAAATTACACTTGTACTACAATTTGTTATTGTGAAGCTAGTTATATATCCCGGTATTCACGGAACTGCACCTGAGACCATAATAATTTAAGCGTAAGCGTGGGCGTAGATTGCTGAATTGAGTCTGGAAGTTGGGTGATCTTTCCTGTGGATACTGATAACTGTTCTTTAGCTTAAAGATCTAGAATAAGAATTAGGATAGTCTTAGTTTGGCTCGCACATGTATCGCACATGCAGCCTTAGGTTAGAATCCATCGCGGATTAATTAAGTAGTATATAAGTAATGTATCGCACATTAATAGTTATAAGTTTCTTAATAAAGTCTTTTTAAAAACGTCCTGAGTCAATTTCGAATCTTGACTAGCTAGTACAAGTGTTTATCCAAATCACAATGATGTGATTTGGATAAACACTTGTCATGGACATTGCTAGCGGTCGACCAAAATTGGCTTTGTGATCAACTTGTCGGCCATATTGGTTAATTGTATGTTTATATGCTCGTTGATTTTTATTTTTATGGCATCTTGCCTTTTCAACACGAATAGTATCATATGTAGACAGATTAAAGACATTTAAAATTTTCTTACTGTCTAAACGCCGATATATTCTGGATTTGCAACTTTTATATAAAATATTCAGAAATAAGTTCCCCTTGCCCTTTATTACTAAGTAAATTTAATTTTCGTATCTCAAGTAGATATCCTCGTAAGTTTATTACTCCTCTTTCGCCGCCCCTTCGTAGAACTGTACTAGGATTTAATTCACCAATACCCAGACTGCAGACTTTTAAATACTTATAATAATGTAGTAGATATTCACCACGCCTCTTTTAAAATTTTTCGACACAATATTTATCAAAATATTAATATTTCTTAGCAGTACCTATATTTTTTTTGTATTGATTTTTAAAAGAAATTTAATTTTGAAATTTTGTATTGTATATTTTTACCTATTAAGTAAAGGCTAGTAGGAAATGCTGTGAGCACTAATCATGCAGTGTTTACTTATTATTAAATGTGCACTAAGTTTATATAACTGTCTTAGAATTAAGCATAATATGTATTAGTGTAACATTTGTTTTCGAACCAAATAAATAAATAAAATAAAAAATCACCCTTACTTGTGTAAAAAATACTCAAGCGTGGAACAATTATTCAGCCATACAAATAATTCTTCCGTGTATGTTTATATTTATGTATTTCAGGTACCATATGGTTTGAGTAAACATTTTGTATGAACTCACCAATTTGCGTATAACGTTGCAAATCAGGCGGATAAGGATTAGGAAGGCATGAGATTGTGGAAGTACGAGGTGTTGAAAGGGGAAGAGTCAAATAACCGATCAAAGAACGTAGCAGCTCCGCAATAGGTCCTGTGCCAGATATTTTCAAGCCTGCATCGGTAGGCCCAGCTGTAAATGCAGATAGATTACAAATGGGAAACCAGCCTACAACTCCATGGCTGCAGCGTGAATGAGTCTTTTTTACACTACCAAACAAGGTACCTCTAAGTACCACGCTCTTAATATGATGAAATAAAAACGGAGAAATAGCCTCAAGAGAAGTTTTCTGTTACGTGGTAGAGCCACGCTGTAGCTATATTGTGGTTGCAGCACGAATGGGTCGGCTCGACCGGGGCAGGACCACGCTCTCACAGAATACCATAAAAATAGCAGCTTAATACTGCTGTGTTTCGTATAGTGAGTGCGGAGATCCGAAGACCCTTTTTACTGGAAATGAGACATTCCATCTTAGTCCGCAGGGGCGACAAAATGCATTTTGATACGAGGATAAATGTTGATGTCTATAGACTACATCATCTAATTATCCTCTTGTGGACTATGTGCCCGTTTGTCACTGTACTTTTATTATTAATCATATACGATTTTCCGATATGGTGTACACTACACTTAGTTTATGTTATGTGGATGCATATATAATTATCACATGAACATAAGAGTATGGTAGGATACTAACGTCTAACAAAACGCGTTTAACTAACTACATATTAAAATATAATGACACTGGCGGAATAGTTGATTATTGTCGATCTCTAGTTGTCTGTTACCTGGATACGCTGGAATTTTCTGCAAGTCCTTCTGATCAAAATCACGTGACCTTACCAACACGTTGTTTGAGCCTTAAGCCACTTAAATATAAAGTTAAAAGTTGAAAACGTACGTTGTAAAGGCGTTTGGAATCGGCCATGGTACCGTATAGTCATCAATACCCAGTACAAGCTGTAGTCTGCCACCATATGGATGAGAAGTTTGAATGTTGTGATAATCATGAACACCACTGAACGTGTGAGATACACTTTTTCTGATTCTAATAGTCGAAATGACGTTGTCTGAAAGAGTAAAAGTTGAAAATTAAAAAAGTAAAACCCGTACAGGCCAATTTCCTTAGTGTGTGCAATTTTAAATTAAAAATACTTTGTTGATGACATCTTTACGGCTCAATTTTAGAGCATGCAATAACTTCCGATCATTTTATTATTATTATTATTTTATTCTTTATTGCACCAAAGATTTTGTACAAAAGGCGAGCTTAATGCTATATGGCATTCTCTACCAGCTAACCTTGGGTAGAACAGAGAGTGAGTTATGGGCAGTAAAGATGTCATGATCTCATTCAATTCAAAATGTACATGCTACACATACATATAATAGATATATACACATATATATTATATACACTTACACACACATACATATGTATATACATATATATATACATATATACATACACATATACATATATAAATATATATCTCCATAAATTTATATACAAATAACTATAAACATATAAAGTAAGTGGACTCAAATTTGTTGGTTACGGATATATTCGTATAGTTTTCTTTTAAACACGTTTTTAGCAGGTATTATGCGCAGGTCAACAGGCAATTTGTTCCAGAGGGAGATGGAAGTTAATGTGAAAGAATTTGACATAAACCCAGAATGGTGGAGAGGAGTAGACAGTAATAAATTGTGTGAAGACCGGAGATTGAGAGAATGAGTGTCACTACGGAATTGGAATCTTTCTTTAGGTAAAGGGGTGAGGAAGAATCATTAAGTACATTTTAGTTTACTCCTTTTCTGGCTAGACTTAGTTTATTCATGTTAAAAATGCTTAACTCATAGCAGGATAACCTAAAGGCAAATTAGGCCGCATCAATCCAGTGCACCGAAGCGAAAGAAATAAGTTTTTACGTAATTTAGTCTATGGAAAGAATTAAGGGGATTCCTGACGCTTACATTGCCTAGAAATCTACGGATTAATCCGTCGCATTAAATTCTAAGTAGATGTTAACAAAAAATAAATCAGGGAATGAGTTCTGTACTACTAAAATAAAAATAAAATACTTACTGTGATGTACTTAGCCTTCTCTCTCTTATTCAATGGCAAAACTGTTTCTTTTCCCTCTTTGAGCCTTTGAAAATCCAAGTTGCGCAGCTCTTTTGTGATGTAGCGATTGTCGAAGCGAGATCTCGTCTCGTACATATGTTGGTAGTATTTAGCTCTGTTGAATTTAATGCTTTTTTAAATGAAACTTGCATTTACAGACTGCATTTTTTAAGATCTCGAAACGTCATTACAGTTTTAAATGACAGTTATAAATACGTTTATATATATTGTACAAATTTATAAACTGTTCTGATTTACGAATACAAAAATAAACAAAAAAGCTAAATAAAAAAGATATAAAAATAAAATAATTTCCTGAAAGCTGACGTAAGAATACGTTGTGAAAGTTTTAATGGTTTCACGTGTTATTTCAGCTCATTTATTTCTCACTTGCATGACCAATTGACCTATCGATTAAACGGCGTGGTAAAAGGCGTCTCGTTCTTTGTGTTGTTCCTTGAGGCAGACTTACGTTCAGCAGTAGACTTGTAAAGGGGCTTTAATAACGATGATGATAGATAACGTTTGAGTGGTCCCAATATTTTGCGATAATAGATAGAATCAGGCGTTACTTTGCGGAAATCCATTATAATAAAAAATAAAAATATAAATTTCTTAATCCCTACCAAAGTAGCGAGTGACCGCGTCGTGCGATAACAAACCTGCCAACAGTTATTATTATTGTTATGATTATTTTTAAATACTATTATTATTATTGTTTTGAGTGACCGCGGCTTGCGATAACAAATCTGCTACTAATTATTATTATTGTTATGATTAATATTTTAAATACTATTATTATTATTGTTTTATTGATATTATTATAATTATTTATTATTATTAATCTTAAAATTATTATTAAAGATTGGCCTTAAAGATGTTTAACAAAGGTGAATTAGAAACATTTGTTTGTTCATTCAGCAGTGTATAATTACCATTATTACTTTTTAAAATCTCCAACTGCTCCAGCACACACAGTCGCAGCCCCTTATTACAGGTTTGTAAGACTTCAAAGGAATGGTCGCTAGCTAGGTTGTGTCCAGTGTCCGAGAGATGTTTAGCAAAATGGGATTTATCAGGATTGCAATTTCTGTACGCGGCCATATGTTCTTTATAGCGCGTCCCGAAATTGCGACCAGTCTGACCCACGTAAACGGCGTGGCATTCGTCACAAACAAGTTTATAAACACCCGATTTTTGACTAATATTTAACTTATCTTTATTATTACAAATATTCCTAAGCGAATTGTTTGTTTTGAATGCCACGTTAACGCCGTTTTTCTTAAGACTATTAGCTATTTTTTCCGATATGGAGCCTAAGTAGGTCAAACTACCCACATACCGCCGGACACTTTGAGATCGAACCGCGTACAAAGAATTGCGAACAACATGCTTTTGTTTCTTTTTAATAAGATTATCAACGAGACTTTTTGAAAAACCGTTAGAGACCGCAATTTGATAAATTATATTAAGTTCTTTTATATAATTTTCTTTATTTAATGGAACAGTGGACAGACGGTTAATGTAGCAATAAAAAGCGGCTTTATTAGCGGTCAGCCGCCGTAGAGTCTATATTACCTGAGGATGCCTCGTGTAGAGGCGAAACACGTGTCGTATTATCGTCGATGGTGTGTCTTGCCTGGAATAGTGGTGTTGAGAGTAGTGGTGACGGAGTTAGTGTATGCAATTGAGGGAGGGCGGGAGGTGCGCTTCAATCCAGGTAAGACACATCATTTTATATGTTTAGCGGAAAGTTGCAAAGAAATTTATATTTTTATTTTTTATTCCAATATTTTGCATTCTTGCAAGAACCTTTGATTTATTTGTTTATTTATTTAACATAAAAATTCACACAGTTACAGTTTTACAGTCTGCATAACTGCTCAGCAGTTTATTGGCAGTTAAAAATGCTATCTTATTTCCTAACATGCAAAAAATAAAGTGAAGAAAAAAATTGTTTAATACAATTATACTACCATATTCAGCACTAGACCCAAAAAAGCTAAAGAAAAGAAGAAAGATAGGGCGTTATTGCACGTATTTTTTATAGGATAGGGTGACAAACGAGCACACGGTCCACCTAATGGTAAGTGGTTGCTGTGGCCCATAGACATCTATCCTCGCTTACGAATCAAAATGCACATGCGTTGTCACCTGTGAGGACTAAGATGGAATGCTTCGTTTCCACTCACTCTCGTCTACACTCACTATACGAAACTCAGCAGCATTAAGCTACTATTTTACGCTGGTATTCTGTGAGAGCGTGGTATTGTATTGTACTCTATTTCATTTTATTTGATTAACACAATACAGTTTACAGTAATGGAGATAAAAGTTTCTTAAAATTAAATAATTAAGTACTAAACTGTAAACCAAAAATATGTGTTTATGAATTAAATTATAATGAGTTACGTATACTAAAGTTATAAATAATTTAATAAGCAATAGTTTTGCAATCACTTATTCAGCAGATTACAAGAGACTGTTAGAGGTTTAAAGCTAGAATAAAAGTAAGTAGAATCATAAAACAGATGAGACACGTTATTTCAAAATATCACAGATAGATCTATTTATGACATTTGGATTCGAACATAGAATATCAAACATTTGGATAGTCCTGGGATATATCATTGCGGAGGCGACACATCCTTACAATTGAGTTGTAATATGATGTGTTGTTACGGTACATTTGGAGTTAAAACAATTTAGGCTTACGGTCTTGTATCTTGTTTCAAGGGTTAACATAAAAAATTTTCATTGTCAATTTATTTATTTTTTTATAGAAGAAGGGGCTAACGAGCATGCGGCTCACCTGATGTTAAGTGACTACCGCCGCCCATGATCAACCGCAACACCGGGAGAATTGCGGGTGCGTTGCCGGCCCTTTAAAAAGGAGTAAGCTCTTTTCTTGAAAGTCCCCAGGTCGTATCGGTCCGAAAAAATCGCCGGTGGTAAACTATTCCACAGAGAGGTTGTACGTGGAAGAAAACTCCTTGTGAAACGTACAGTGGTGGACCGCCAAGCATCCAGATGGTGTGGATGGTATCGGGACGTTTGCCGTGTAGTGCGTTCATGAAATTTGGCGGCTGGGATTAATCCGAACAATTCCTCAGAGCACTCCCCGTGATAGATGCGATAAAATACGCAAAGAGATGCAACATCTCTTCGCAGCGCCAGTGAATCGAGCCGATCGGAAAGCACTCGGTCGTCGACGATTCGAGCCGCTCTGCGCTGGATGCGGTCAAGTGGAAGGAGCTGGTACTGAGGAGCCCCAGCCCAGAGATGGGAACAGTATTCCATGTGCGGCCGAACCTGCGCCTTGTAAAGTTGCAGGCGGTGTGCCGGCATGAAATACTGTCCCGCTCTGCTGAGCACGCCAAGCTTTTTAGAGGCCAATTTGGCCTTCCCTTCCAAGTGACCACGAAACTGCACGTCACTCGATATGTCGACGCCGAGGATTCCGATACTGGCTGAGGCAACAAGGGGAGTGCCTTGAAACTGAGGGGATACAACAAAGGGGTTCTTTTTAGCGGTTAACGCGCAAACTTGTGTCTTCTGGGGGTTATACTGGACTAGATTTAGTCGTCTCCAATCCGAGACTCTGTTCAGCAAAGACTCGACTTCAGACACAAGTTTGTCCCGGCACTCGGAGACGTTTTCCCGAGAAATATTGGCTCGGCCGGTGTAAAGAGCATCACCAGTGCCGTCATCTGCATAGCAATGAATGTTACGGGTATGCAACATATCATTGATATGTAGAAGAAACAGCGTTGGCGATAGCACGCAGCCCTGTGGAACACCAGCATTAATTGGCTTGCAATCGGAGCTTGCACCGTCTACAACGACCTTGATGCTCCGATCTGCAAGAAAGCTGGTGATCCAATCGCACAATTTCTCGGGAAGCCCATAGGAAGGGAGCTTCGAAAGAAGCGCTTTGTGCCAAACCCGATCGAAGGCCTTCGCAATGTCCAAACTAACGGCCAAGGCCTCCCCCTTGAACTCTACTGCCTCCGCCCATCTGTGAGTTAGGTAGACCAGAAGATCACCAGCTGACCGACCACGGCGAAAACCGTATTGGCGGTCACTAATCAGCTGGTGATCTTCAAGGTACCTCATGAGCTGGCAGTTTACAATGGACTCCATTGTTTTGGAGAACAAGGAGGTGATGGCGATTGGCCGGTAGTTGGACGGGTCAGAGCGGTCGCCTTTTTTAGGGATCGGGTGGACGTAAGCCGTCTTCCATGATTTTGGGACTACGCCTAGGGAGTAGGAGTACCGGAAAAGACGCGTTAAAACCGGTGCCAACTCTGGAGCACACGTCCTCAGCACAATTGGGGGGATTCCGTCAGGCCCACTCGACTTGTGGATGTTCAGGGAGAGGAGTGCTTTGCGAACCGAGCGCTGTGTGAAGTGCACTTCCGGCATGGAGCACTCACACCGCAGGATGGTCGGCGGCGTACTCCCCCCGTCATCGAGAGTCGAGTTAGACGCAAAGAAAGAGCCTAGAAGATCGGCTTACTCCTTTGCGGTATGGGCCAGTGAGTCGTCCTCCCTGTGCAGAGATGGAAGAGATGGCTGACAGAAATTCCCCTGGACAGCCTTGGCGAGAGACCAGAATGCACGGGTTCCAGAAGGAAGGCGAACTAGTTTCTCGCCAATTCTGCCTATGTGCTCAGACTTTGCCTTGGCAATGACTCTTTTAAAGGACCTAGAGGCGGAATTATAATTCTTTTTTAGAGCGCTGGTGTTTACATCCCGGGACGCTGATGCATCAGCCCAGGCTTGGTAGCACTCCTGCTTATAGCATGATGCTATTTTACAGGAGCGACCAAACCATGGCTGAGACTTGCCTCCAATGGGCACCACAGAGGAAGGAATAAAAGTTCCATACCCTGAAGTACCACATCAGCAACAGAATCCGCAACAACGTTGGGATCATCCGGCGAGAAGCAAACCCGCCCCCAAGGGTAGGATGCAAAGAAAGACCGCATCCTATCCCAATCGGCTGACCTATAGTGCCAAACACGGCGGCAGCCTGCAGAATGCAACCGCGATTTCAGCGTGAGTGGCACAACACTCCGGACCAGACAATGGTCCGAGGAGCCTAAAGGGGCGTCGACGGAAATCTGATATCCGTCCGGGTGAGAGGTCAGCAGAAGGTCCAACAGGGAAGGTGCATGATCCTCCACATCTGGAATCCGTGTAGGCGAAGTAACCAGTTGTGTCAGACCATATGCCAAGGCAAAATCATGAACAGATCTCCCCGCATGATCGTTTAAACGTGAACCAAGCCATTCGGCGTGATGGGCGTTAAAGTCGCCGAGGATCACGATCTCTGCGGAGGGGATCTGCCGTAGCAACGAATCTGCAGCCATTTGGACGTGGTAGAAGAGTCGGTCTGTTTCGGCATTACCGCTATGGGACCTATAGAGGCACCCGTAGACGCGCGGATGGTCGTCGCTGTCTACGCGTAGCCAAAGGATGGACAGGTCCGAACCTTCAAGTCTGCCGAGGCGTCGAGAACAGATGTCCTCTCTGACGTAAACGCAAACTCCAGCCCGAGGCACAAAGGAGTGTTCCAGTTTGTAACCCGGGTAGGAGAGATACGAGACATCAGCCGGAGAGGACACCTGCGTCTCGGTCAGAAAGAGCAGAGCCGGCCTCGCCGTCTCGAGATGGTAGTGAACGGCGTTTAGGTTAGAGTGAAGTCCCCTGATATTGCAGAAATTCACGGACAGCGTGGCAGGGGTCGCCTTGGTCTTGTTGCTCCGTTTGCCCCGAGCAGTTGTAGTCTTGAGCGGAATTTTGCCCCCCCCCCCCACAGAATACGCGGGGCAGCCTGAGCACCCACGCTCAGAAGTGGAGAAACATGGTCGTGGATGCTCAGCGAGGGATTCTCCAGGGGTGCTGGTACCCTCCTGGGGTAGTCTATCATTATTTAATTCCGCTACCATGTTGATGGGGGGGGGGGGATTTGGGCGTCCGGCCACCTGCACTCACCAGACGAAACGCGGAAGCAGAGCTTCCACTTCACGCCGGTATTCTGTGAGGTCGTGGTACCACCCCGGTTTGAGCCGGCCCATACGTGCAACAGCAAAGCTGCCGCGTGGCTCTACCACTGTGTAAAAAATCTCATTATATGTTCTAAAATTTTTAAATTGTATTTGTATTTTCTTGTTCCGGAGTGTAGAAAATGTCGTCGTGTAGACGTTACTCGAATTAACCGTTGCCAAACATAAAATTTTTAATCACGAAAATAATGAACGCTTTTCAAAAAAGTACATTCTAGTGTAGCCAATTAGCAGCGCCTGAACATCTGTGTTTCGTTCTGCCAGAATAATTACAGTGAGGCATTCCATCTTAGGCAACTACTTTGTTGTTTTAAGTTGGTTGTAGGTTTCCATTGGCAGCCACTTATATACCATCAGGTATAAGTCCGTTTGTCACATCATTTTATTAAAAAAAACAGACATAATTTGAAAGACCCTTAATCACCAATCTGCAGATTAGACATAGACATTTTCAGATTTTAACGCAGACGGTTATATTATTGTCCAATTTTAAATTCTGCAACCGATTTAAAAAAATTCAAAATGCATTTTAAATGTTGAGTTGGTTGGATTTTGATATGTAACACGAACGTGTTATCGAGTTTTCGGGAGTTTCATTTGGTTTTGCTATGATATATCATGTTATTTAGCAGACTTTCTTATAGAGGAGGTTATCAGTCCAACTGTAAAAGCAGCATGGGATGTAGAATACTCCAAATATTAGGGTTCGATGATCTGGAGTACAAATTTGTCCATTTTTAGGTGCCCGGGTCCCATTCGTTAGTATATACCACAGAACACCTAATATTTGCACTCTATTAGACTTTTTGTGGTTAATGCAGTTCAGTAGGCAAGGTTGGCATTCGAAAAAGTCATAAAAAACGTTTCGGCTTAAAATCAGAAATGGTGAAAAGCAAATCGTAAAAATCTGGAATTGGTAGTTATGATGTCGATGATTATTATGATAAAGCTAATATTATTAAAAACGACTATACTACAACTTATCTGAAAATATTGAATAGAACTATTTTTACGGATTTTATCGAGTTTCATTCGCCCGATGTCCCGGGTGCTTTCCAGCACCTATAGTCACGGGGGACTGAGGTGGTTGACGTGCCGATTTCAAAGTTACCCCGGAGTAAAGCGGAGGGTATCGCGACAAAATCCGTAAAAGTTTTTTATTCTATGTGTAGTTTTATATTTATATTTATATTTATAAATACTCACGCCTGTCACCCAGAGGGGTAGGCAGAGACTACGGACTACCATTTGGCACGATCCTGACATACCTCTTTCGCCTCCTTTACATCCATATATCTACGCATACATGCTCGTCGGTTAAGGGTACTTCTAACGTGGCCCATTTTCAAAATATCGCCAATTTGGTCGATAAACTTTCTTCTAGGGCGTCCCTTCCCGACTCTGTCGTTCACATCTGCCACATTCATTCTTTCTACATGACCGAACCACCGAAGCATTCCTTTCTTAATCCTGGTCACAACATCATCTTGCATACCAGATCTACGTGAAGTGTTCACGTAAATATGAGAATTCAATACCTGAAAATAATTAACAACAGAAACAAACTGGTGACGCACGAGCTCCACGACAACCAAGTCAAGAGCGGATCGGCTCTGTTCCTGATCTCGGTGACAATGCCGGCCGCCACTTGACTTGCCGATCTACTCGCGTTGCTACTGAATGTGTACGAATGGTGCACGTGGATTTTCACGTAAAACAACGACTGGATACGGCTTGTGAAGGTTTTGAATTCTGAAAGTAAAAACATAATTTTAGGTGGCAAAGCTTCGCTGGAGCTCTATTATGACTGAATCTGGAAATGATAGACCCGACTGAGGATGGACAAAGCACACACAGAATCATCATCATCATCATTACAACTCTTCACAAGTTCAAAGCTGAACATAGGCCTCCCCCAAGGAACACCACACGCACAAAGAACGGTCCTGAGCCACCTGCACTCATTGAATTCTTGCATGTCTTACCAGGTTGTCACTCCGTCTAGTGGGAGGTCGCCCTACACTTCGCCTAGCGGTACGAGACCGCCACTCGAGAACCCTTTTTCCTCATCGGTTATCGGTTCTTCGAGCTATATGGCTGGGCCATTGCCGCTTCAGTTTACTAATCCGTTGGGCTATGTCGGTTACTCCGGTTCTACGGCGGATATCCTCATTTCTAAGTTTATCACGTAGAGAAACCCCGAGCATTACTCTCTTCATAGCTCGCTGAGCGACCTTGAGCGTCCCCATACGATCGGCAGTGTACCACACACAGAATACCAGCATAAAGCATTATACGTAGTGGAGCCATGCTGTAGTTATATTAGTAGTATAGTAGTAGCACGAATGGGTCGGCTCGACCGGGAAAGGACCACGATCTCACAGAATACCACCGTGAAATAACAACTTAAGAATTAAGCTAGCTGTGTTTCGTATGGTGAGTGTAGAGAACCGGAGACCCCTTTTTACTGGAAACGAGGCATTCTATCTTAGTCCTCACGGGTGACAACGCATCTGCATTTTGATTTGTAATCGGGGATAGATGTAGATGTCTATGGGCCGCAACCACTTACCATCAGGTGGACTGTGTGCTCGTTTGTCACCCTATCCTATAAAATAAAAAAATAGCAGATAACAATGCATCTGCATTTGATTCTTAATCTATGAAGTAGGTGTTGTGTATGACAACATATAGTATTAGGAAACGGCTCGCAAATTTTACATCATCGCTGATCTGTTTATTTTATATCAGTCATACTTGGAAATATACCGCTTCATTATCAATTAGAAGCCACAAGATCACATGCGCATTTCCCTTAGTCAATTCTTATCACATATACAGACGACTATAAATTTCGAAAAGAAATTGTAATTTAATCATTATCAGAAGAGTCTTATCCAACGACTAACTAACTAACCAATCTGTACATATGTAACTTTATTTGAAAACAGTAAATACTTACTTCTTCTCATCGTAGCAACAATAGTACTCCTCGTATAGTCAGCAATTTCGCAGATTCTTCGCGAAGATTTCAAAGACCGGCATGCGAAGTTAGTCAAGTAAGTGGCGTTGCAAAACCAAGGCAGTTTGCTATTTGAATGTTGTTTGCATTGCCTTTCGATTCCTTGCTTATTTAACAAACGACTGCAGTGTTGGAAAGGTGTGCCAAGTTTTTCGTTGCACTTATTTGTAATCAAATTCAACCACGGAAAGGACGATTCCAGAACGCTTGCTGAAAATGTTTTAAAAGCATTTGATTTATGGACAGAATCCTAACATTTTTTTAATAGGATAGGATGACAAACGAGCACACAGTCCACCTGATGGTAAGCGGATGTTGTGGCCCATAGACATTTACATCTATCCTCGATTACGAATCAAAATGCAGATGCGTTGTCACCCGTGACGACTAAGATGGAATGATTCGTTTCCAACAAAAAGGATCTCACCATACGAAACACGTCAGCACTAAGCTACTATTTTACACTGGTATTCTGCGAGAGCGTGGTCCATCCCCGGTCGAGCCGAAACATTCGGGCTACAACAATGCTACTAATATAACTGCAACGTGGCTCTACCATATACTACATAACAGAAACTTGTGAGCAGGGCCAGCCAAATTGACTTTCTATTGTTAACGCTTATTCGGGGAACTAGCGATCCACCCCGGCTTCGCACAGGTGATTTCTGGATTTTGACAACAGCGCCACCTACCGGTCCAATTCTTAATCTAAACCATTCTCGAATCAACTTAATCACACACACCACAAAATTTTATACTAATCGGTCCAGTAGTTTAAGAGGAATTCAATCATACACACATCATTCATCATCATGAATAAAGATTTTAAAAAAAAATGGTAATGACATATCTCAACGCTAACTCCCATAACATTCATCTGACATCGTTGATTTCGTTTATTTTCGCCAAGTCGAGCAAAAAAGCGGCACGGCCGTACCATACTTTTCTCAAAGCAATTCAGGCCATTTTCGACCCCCTATAACTTTGTCGAGGATAAAACTAGAAGCCTGAATTTCAGTAACCGAGTAAACATTGTATAAACATGGTATATTTCAAATTTCATTCAATTTGAACCAGCAGTTTAAGAAGTATCTATAACTAGTCAGTTTCTTAATTTTGTCACGCACTGACTGACCGATCATCAAACTCTAAGGCACTTCTAGCAGACATAGAAGCTTCAAATTTAGAATACAATTAGTATTCAGTGTATAAAAGTAAAAGTAAAGTTACAGCCTATATACGTCCCACTGCTGGGCTCAGGCCTCCCCTCATTTCTGAGAGGGTTTAGGGCGAGGAAGTGTCCGCCGCGCTGCCCAAATGCGTGTTGACGAACTTCACATGTCTTCGAAATATTTTTATTTTCTTATTCCTCAGACATGCAGGTTTCCTCACGATGTTTTCCTTCACCGCCGAGCACGTGGTAAATCAGCACTTAAAATTGCAATTAACAATTTCATTGGTGCCGGCGGGGATCGAACCCGGGTTACTCGCGTTCTGTTATATTTACAGCGAGCGTTAACCACTGAGCTACCACGGCTCAAGTATACATACTCACGGCTACAGTATTCAGTGTATAAATCAAGGAAAAACTAAATATTTTTAATTTCGGTCCAGTTTTCTAGATACACCAACTGCATAAATAACTTTGTCATCCCATATAAATATATAGAATTACAAAGTTACATTTGCAGTGAATGAATCAGTGTTCTTGTATATGTATAATAGGTGTAAATAGGTACGTTGTTGGTATTCGAGAAGTAGAAGGTACCGGAAAGGAAAAAAAGTAGGACTATCTTATCTACAAAATGAAATGAGATGCCATCAAAAATATAACTTGTAAAAAAAAACAAATCTCGCAACTCAGTTCTTCTATCTTAAAAAAGTTGTAAGATCCATGTAATATCAAGTCGGTTAATTTATTCACTTCCTACTTAAGGGTCCTTCTGTTTTAAGTTATTTCGTAATTAGCTAACCTAACAATTTTATAGTGACCATATCAATGTTAAAAATCTTATATGTTTAAATCAGCACTTAAAATTGCAATTAACAATTTCATTGGTGTCGGCGGGGATCTAACCCGATTTGCTCGCGTACTATGAAATTTATAGCGAGACTTACCATATGAGCTACCACGGCTCTGATTTCTCTCTTATTAGCTGCGGCGTATTTATCAAAGTACAAAAAATAAAAGCAGGCACTCATTCTCGTTATTTTTACTCTTTTTAAAATGAAAAACACTTTATTTGAAAGGTGCTTTAAATATTTTTGACAAAGGTAACAATAGGCACCATTATTTTAATTACCTATTAATCGAACTTAGCCAAACGCCAGACATAGGTATTTTAATAAGCAAAAACAATCCCCAAACGATTACTTTTAGCCATGATTAAATTACCTATTCTTAATAATAGATTAATTACATTGATTATTGTGACCATATTATGAGGAGTAGCAAGTAATTTTCCCAATTTTTTCTATACATTGACCAATACGATAGTAAGAAGAAAACCAATTACAAAAAAAAAACTAAAAAATAAAGTATAGTTTAGAAAATTTTACAGAAAATTATATAAACTTTTTACAAGACATATTTTTAATTATTAAATTAAATTTTTGCATTTTTGCCAAAAAGTAATTTAATTTAATATTTTTGGTAAATACATATCTCGTACGATTTTGGAAGCTTTTCCGGAAATGCAGATTAACTGTAAGTGTTCTATATTAGATAACGAAGGATGTGCACAACATATACTTTGAGGTAGTATCTAGTGATTTTTCATCGAAATAAGAATTGTTTTATAGGTGATTCTTTAATAAACACATGCAACTGCCAGCCTTTGAACACAGTCATGTCAATCATTTTAAATCGACTTCAAAAAAATAGGGGGTTCTCATTTCGACTCTATTTTTTAATACATTATGTTACCTATGAACTTTTTTCTAGGTAATCCGATTTAGATGATTCTTTTTTTTATTTGAAAGCTGGTGCTTCCCATATAAAGAGATCAATATCGGGCCAGTAGTTTTTAAATTATCTATAATAATGCGTTTTTAATTAACTTCGACTACGTTGATGATATTCTCATTTTAATTATGATGAAGTTGGTTGTACAAATTTTTTAATTTTACCACTTGTAATATTTTTTTAATCACATAGGGTCATTTACACGCTCTTATGAATAATCAAGAGAAAAAAGTACATTTTAACAAATTAACAAATTTCAACAGATAACAATTTCAATCAATGTCAAATTCAATGAGGGCTAGTAATCTTTCGCTCACCAGATGTCGCTGGTTGACACTGAGGTGAAGTTTTGTTACACAATGTCATTTAATTGAGAAGTTAGTTTTAAATAAATGTTTATTAGTTTCTAAAGTATTATATTAATACACAAAACAACCTGAAACAAAACAAAACAAAACACAAAACAACAAAAAAAAACGTGGTAGAGCCATGCTGCAGTTATATTAGTAGTATAGTTTTAGCACGAATGGGTCGGCTCGACCGGGGAAACACCACGCTCTTACAGAATACCAGCGTCAAATAGTAGTTTAATGCTGCTATGTTTCGTATGGCGAGTGTAGAGAACCGGAGAACCTTTTTACTGGGAACGAGGCATTCCACCTAGGTCCTCACGGTTAATAACGCATCTGCATTTTGATTCGTAATCGAGAATAGATGTAGATGTCTATGGGCCACAGCAACCACTTACCATGAGGTGGACTGTGTGCTCGTTTGTAACCCTATCGTATAAAAAAAACAAAGCCTCAGTGCTTTGCTCTTTAATGTTTTTGCAGATTTAAAACTCTTTTTTTTTTCATTTACCCATTTATAATTATCTGTGGTTTAGTTTATTAATTCTTAATCTATTTAATATAAAATATAACTAATAACTAAAGGTGGGCGAAACTGTTATATTTTTCTAATTCGTTATGTTGTTGTAATACCTATATTTTTCTAACTGTTGTTTTAAACTGTTATAATATATTATAACAAATTCAAATATTACATTGTACACGTGGTTAGTTCAGTTCAGTTGGCGGCTGTGTCAGGGTTTTGTTCTATGTCGTTATAACGATTATAAATATTATGGTGAAAGATTATTACGATTATAAATATTATAAATATTAAACGATTATAAGTTTAATATGAAGACAAAAAAAAATATTTTTAAATTGTATTAGCATCATTTGAGTGTTTCATGTTTTAAAAGAGAATCATTTAAAATATGTATGTTAAGTTCAATGAACTTCCCTTCCTACTTTTACAAGCTTAGGACTGTCTGAATGTATGTTAAGTGTGTAATTATATTTAAAATATATTTTCAAACATTTTAAGAAAAATAACTCATTCAGGCGTAGTTAGAAGCTCATTGATGTTGTGTACATTTTGATTGAATTTTTACATTATTTACACTGTGCTCAACGTTTTAGTTATCTACAATTATTTACATTTTTTTCAGTTACTATTCAAAAAAAATTATTTAGTTTACTTTTGACGACGTAAGCTTTGTGCGTCTATCCGATATTAAAATCCGAACGGCAAAACTCTTTAAGGGAAGCTTTTTAAGGGGATAGAGTAAGTCAGCTCAAATTCTAATTTCGTCCCCACTTGCCCGCGCGTCGTATGCTATGTACCGACATGTTTGTAATCACTAATACTGTAAGTAGGAAGGTCGTTAGACACTTATTTCATTAGGTTTATCATATTTATGCCTGTTTCTTAACGCCAAGCCAGTCGCTTCTTATTTTTATTACGATTATTTCCCATTTTAATTTTACGTCGTCCTGTAGCGTAATGTTTATTCTGATCGTAAGCGACACAACCTCCCCGTTCAAAGGCCGAAGCGACCGTGCGGCAGGAATCACGCTTCAAGAGGCCGATAGTTTAGGTAATTTCTTTTTACAGTGAAAATAATGGTATTTTAAAAAAAGTAAATAACATATGCACTGCTTTATAGTTAGTTCACTTAGAATGCAAAGTTTCATGATCTTATTTAAAGTATTTTATGAATAACAGCGGTTTATTGTTTATTTTGGAGGTAACTTTGGATTTTTTTTCTATCGAGAAAATTTTACGAAATCATGTTTTCGTCTAACATAAACCTTAACATTAATCCTCAACTTTACCATATATTTATTTCTAAATTAATGCTGCAATATTTTCGGCATAACGAAGGATCTTGCTAAGCCATTTGAGATTATATTTC